CACATTCTCGCTCCATCCCTCTCTCTCTCTCCTTCATTCCATCCCTTCCCCCTATTCCTCTCTCCATACCACGCTCACTCGACCACTCACATACACACAAACACACACAAACACTTACTCTCTCTCTCTTTCTCTCTCTCTCTCCCTCTCTCTCTCTCTCTCTCTCTCTCTCTCTCTCTCTCTCTCTCTCTCTCTCTCTCTCTGTCCTAGAAAAGATAAGGAGCTACAACCGCACCGTTCTGGGAATCAGCGAGATGAGATGGACTGCCCACGGGGAGTTACTGTTTTTTCGGCTCCTGGTCGTAGATTGGGTGATGAAGACATCAACAGAACAGAGGCGCAACGGCATCTAATGGACAGTCTGGAACCATCTAGATGACCTGGACCTTGCTATACTGTCCCACAACCAACAACAGATGCGAAAAAAGACCAAGATCTTACTTACTTTGCTTTATACCTCTTCTTGCACCGTCTTGAGTGTCGAGGGGAGAAAGAGCCTTAGGTATCTGGCAAGCTGGATGGCCTGGTTTGGTGGAATGCTGTGGGTCTTTAGGTTATTCGTCACACCCGCGACCAAGTCTTCCTTGGTCTTTCTCTTGCCTTGTACCCTGATATCCTTTTTAAATATAATAATAAATAAATAAATAGCATTTGTATAACGCATATCCCCGCTCAACAGCAGGCTCTGAGCGCTTTACACTATATCATTACCCCAGCAGGCCATACCAGTGCAAGCAGCTGATTAAGCGCTCAAACACTAACAAACTGACAAGATCTTTCGCTGTCTATAGCCGGGTACCCATTCCCACCTTGGTGAAGTGATGAAAATTCGTGTAAAGTGTCTTTCCCAAGGACACAACGTCGGGTCCCTGACGGGATTCGAACCCACGACCTTACGGTTGCGAGTCCGAGAGTCTAACCATAAGGCCACCGACGATTTACTGGAAAGCTGGTGAGGTGCTATACGTGTCAGATGTCCAAACCATCTGATTGTTTGCCTCTGAATGTGGTAGAGGACAGGTGTTGTTCCCATCATTTCTCTGATCCTGGTGTTTCTGATCATGTTCCATCTGGTTTTGTTGACGGCTCTCCTCAGACATCTCATCTCAAAAGTAAAAGGAGAAAAGACCAAGATTGTTGCAGAAAACTCGATTCGTATCTAAGCATCTACAGAGGCAGGAGCAAGAAACATAAAGTCAACGCAGCAAACTCAGGACAAATTACTTTGGATAGGGGAGTGCTGGTAGAGAGTTTTGCCTATCAAGGGAGTACCATCGACAAGCAGGGTGGTGCGGACGGGGATGTGCAAGTATTGACATGGCAAGGCTAGCATTCCACAGCCTTTAAAAATGTTTGGAGTTCAACAGTTTTGAGCTTCAAGAGCAAGATCAGAATTTTCTACATCTGTGTGAAACCAGTGCTCCTGTATGGAGCTGAGACGTGGAAGACCATTGCCATAAACAAAGATAGTACCTAACAAGTTGGTTCACCCAGCCAAAAAAGTGTCCGAGGAAGTTCGCGCATTGCTTCAGATGACGCTGCAGTCTTTGTTTTGAAGCTCTCTTTCGTTTCTCCAGAAGAAGAATAGGAATAGCACTGCACCCCTTTGCGTGCGCAGATCGACTGCTGTTCATCAGCTGTTCGTATTATTTTAGTTTTAGTAAGTGTTTAACGGCACTTGCAACACAATAAGGTCATATAAAAGCTGAAGATTAGAAGTGTTACAAGAGAGTAACAAACACAAAAAGAAGGATGAGGATAAGGATGATAGGTGTTTGATAGGAAAGAAGGAGCAAACAACACCAGAGCGCCCGCCAACCACCCACTGTTCGGGTTCGTTCAGTGAGGAGTTTTAGGGTTTTTAAATTTTAATGACCTCTCCCCTTTCATTCTAAAGTCAAATTAAACGGAGAAAACAGTCGCCTCTTCCAACGAAGGAGGTTTTTTTTGTCAGCGTATCCATTAAAAAAAGCGTTCTTCCGAAATTTGAATTCTAATTTATTCAAAAACTTGTTAGTTTCACTTTGCTTTTTTTCACACAAGTAGGGCAACTCTGTTCGCAGAGGGTGCGCCTTTCCGAAGAGGGCGCCTCCGGATTGTGAGGACACTTTTTTAATTGGCTGAAAGAGAGGAGAGAATGATCTTGTTTTGTATTATCATTGCCATAAACAACAAGAGAACCTAGGTCTACATCAACACTTGTCTAAGAAGGATAATCCGAATACGCTAGCATGCCATCATCAGCAATAAAAGAGCTCTGGCAGAAAACACTGAACAGCAACCTACGGAAGACGTAATCTTTAGATCACAATGGCTCGTTCCCACGTTCTGAAAGCTAATGGTCCGCATCAAAAGGTAAACCCTAAGCAGAATCAATAAAGGAAAAGAATTAGAGGGCGACCAAAGAACGTATGACGACGGGAGGTGACAGAGGACACAATATGGAAGTTGAGGATTACGTGGGGACAGCTAGAGAGACTGATTCAGGATTGGGATTCTT